GTCGTGGAAAGGCATGGCGCTGCACAAGTGTGTCGCCCAACCGGGCACCCAGCAGGGCGGCCAACAGGGTGGGCAGGGAGGCAGGGAGTGGTGTACCGGTTGCGACGAGACACGTAGCGTGTAGCAGCGAAACCCCTCTCAGCCGCAAAGACGTAGTTGCTCTCTGTGTAGTTGGGGCCGTAGCGCTGCAGTGAGAAATGGAAGTTGAGATTCGTTCCCACCGCCGTGGATAGACAGCACGCTGGTTGAAAAGGGGGAGGAGAAAGGGGAGGAACAGAGACGAGAAAGGGGAGGGCGATGAGGAAGAGAGAGCAGAGACGGAGAGGCAAGGAGTTCATCGAAAGCAGTGCAAGCCAGAAGGCAAGTGCAAGCCAGAAGGCAAGTGCAAGCCAGAAAGCAAGTAAGCATGAAGTGAGAATAGGAGAGGAGAGAAAGATGGTGAAGCATCGCAGGGGGGCGAGAGGGTCGAGCGGAGGGGGGAAGAGGGGTGACTGACAGCCGTCGTCGCGGCGGGTGTGGCCGGGCGGGCAGGCGCAGATGCCGGGGCCGAAGAGCTGGTCGACACACGCGCAGTCGCCGCCGTCAAAGGCGCATGCGGGCATGTTGCACGCCGCATCGCACACCCCGTTGGCCAGCCGCCGCAGCAGACAGCCTGGCGCACATTCGTAGGTTGCTGTGGTGTTGGTGGTGGTGGTATTGAAGGCAGCTGTGGTATTGCTGTGGTGATAGAAGATGATAGAAGATGATAGAAGATGATAGAAGATGATAGAAGATGATAGAAGATGATAGAAGATGATAGAAGATGATCGAAGATGATAGAAGATGGGAGGACGGGAGGCGTGGGAAGATGTGGAGAGGAGCGCTGGAAGATGATAGAGAGGGGAACGAACTGTGGAGGAGGAGAGAGGGGGGGGAGAATAGATGGGGCATAATAAACTGAGATGCAGCAGTTGGGAAGGGTGGAGAGAGAATGCACAAACGGTAACTGGATGCAACTGAAAGGAGGAGCCCATGAGAGATCTGCAAGGCCCATGCAGCGCTCACCAGCAGCAGCATCCACCCCAGTCCTCGCAGGCAGCACAGTGAGAATGCTCGTGGTCATGGAGGTGGGGGAGGAGGAGGATGAGGAGAGGGTGTCTCCAGCCGTGGCGGGCAGAGCGCCGTCCTGGTAGTTGATGCTGATAGGCTGCCCAAACACCTTGCTGTAGGCGAAGGTGCCCGCAGGCTCGTCCTCCATCCCTGGTGGGGGAGAGGTGGGACGCGGTTGAGAGGAGTGGGGAAAAGGGGATTGGAGGGGACAGTGGGTGGGACGAGTGATGGGGATTGCTTCCATCTCGATTTGGGACGAGTGATGGGGATTGCTTCCATCTCGATTTGGGACGAGTGATGGGGATTGCTTCCATCTCGATTTGGGACGAGTGATGGGGATTGCTTCCATCTCGATTTTCTGCCTGTTGTGCACTTTTGAGACGTCTCAAAAGTTGTGCAGTACCGAGAAGGCTTGCCTTGCGCTCATAAGTTAGGGTTCCAAACCATTATTATAACTCAATTAGCACACACGGCACGGGGTCATCACTCATGTCGCCAGCGCCCACGTTCATGGGAGTGCATATTCTCTGCCGTGACACTGCCAGGCAGTATCGTCACTCACTTACCATGGCACCTGCACTTACTCAGCACGCAGGGCACGGGGTCATCACTCATGTCGCCAGCGCCCACATTCATGGGAGTGCACACCATCTGCCGTGACACCGCCAGGCGATCCCCCCCGAAACCCAGGAACAGCGGGTCGCCTGCTTGGCCCATCCCTGCCACTGGTGGTGGTGGTGGGGAGAGGGGGGGGAAGAGGGGTGGTAAGGCGTGAGGCCACTGGTGGTGGTGGTGGTGGTGGTGGTGGTGGTGGTGGTGGTGGTGGTGGTGGTGGTTGTGGTGGTGGTGGTGGTGGTGGTGGTGGTGGTGGTGGTGGTGGTGGTGGTGGTGGTGGTGGTGGTGGTGGTGGTGGTGGTGGTGGTGGTGGTGGTGGTGGTGGTGGTGGTGGTGGTGGTGGTGGTGGTGGCAGAAGGGGAGTCGCAAGGGTGGTGGGACATGAGGCAGAGCAGACCATGAATGGGAAATGGTACCATGAGGCACAGAGAGCCCTTGGTAGACCATATTTCTTTACAACTTCTCATCACAGACACTCCTTTCCTCTGCAAAGAAATATAGGCACGGATGGGCAGAGGAGGCTGTGATGCACATGAAAGCTAAAAAAAAAGGGCGTACCTCTGAGGGAGTGCGGGAGGTCGTCATCCCACACCCAGGTGACCTTGTCGCCCACATGGATGGTCGTGTTGTGCGTCACTCCCGTCCGCCACGGCAGCCACGCTCCACCTGAAGGGAGAGAAAAGGCCGAGAAGCACAGTTGTCGTCAATTATAATCTGTCTGAGCCGCCTTAAGAGAACGTAAACACAACCCTTGGACAATCACATTCATATTCACACGCAGATGCAAACGTACATACATCCGCACCCACCACCACTACCGGCCGGCCATGAGCACCTTGCGAGCAGCCGACAGAGTCGGAGTTGACGATGGCATCATCAAAGGAGTGCATGAGCGAGTTGAGGCGCGCAGCGGCCTCGTCTGCCATGGGCGTGACGGAGCGCATGGCTGCCACCATCGTTAGAACGAAGCGCCGCATGTGCTGCGCTGAGATCATGCGCCCGCCGCTCACATGCGTGCGCCGCAGGTATGCGTACATGTCAGCGTCCGACACCACCTGCTGCCCTGTTTCATTTGTGAACCGGCACTCGTCCAGAGTTGTGGACGGACCCCCCAGCATGGTGCAGAGGCACGCCACTATGCGCCACCTCACGCTGCCCGGCCCTCCCAGCGTGTGCATGGTTGGTCCCGCCACTTGCATCGCCTCTGCCCCTGGAGCACGGCCGGCGAGGCAGCGGTCCTTGGCCATGGTGAAGAGCGACCGAGACACCGCCACCTGCAGTGCTGTCAGTCGCTGGCGGTCCGTGGCGCCCAGGAGCGACCAGAGGGAGGGCAGTGCCGGGTCTGCTGTGGCTGCCGTTCCCACTGCTGCCATTGCTGCTGCTGCTGCTGCTGGTGCAGCCGATGCCGGTGTTTGTGGTGGCAGGGTTGCTACAGCTGCTCCTGGTGAGCCTTGCACTGCTGGTGCGGGCAGGGCTGCAGCAACAGTGTCGTCAGCAGTGGAGGCAGCAGCAGCCGGCGTGGCGAACACAGGAGGGGCTGCATCGGGCAAGGCAGCGGAGGTCCAATAGCTGTAGCGATGTGAGTGCAGGCGGCGGTGCTTTGCCTGGGCCTGAGGAGTGGGTAATAAGTAGTGGGATTATGGGCAAGCGGAGAGAGCGTGATAAGGCGACTTGCAAGAAGTGCACCCACGAAACAAAGGGCGAAACAGTAATGTGAAGGGAACAAGAGGAGAACGAAACAGGAAAGCCACAAGGGGCAGCAAGCAAAGGGCGAGCACATGCAAAGAGCGGGAGCAAGCAAAAGGGCAGGCAGCAAGTAAAGGGCGGACAGCAAGCAAAGTGCGGGCAGTAGGCGATGGGGTTGGAAGCACCTTGCGGCGGGCGAGGCGAGCGATGTGTGCCGTGGCGTTGACTGCTGGATGGGAGGTGGTAATGTGCGGTGACAGAATGGGAGGGGGTGTGATGGGAAAAAATGGGAGGAAATGGGAGATGTGCGGTGAGAGGATGGGAAGGGGTGATGTGCGGTGAGAGGATGGGAAGGGGTGATGTGCGGTAAGTGGGTGGTGACAGCTAATGACTGCATTGATCGTCCACATGCTTCAGACAACTTAAGACTGGACGCAAGGAGGTAAACGATACCTGAAACGTTGCATGGGGTGTTGGAAAATAGCATTGCAATCTCAGGCTGCAGACAGTGGGGGGTGGAGGAGGGAGGGGAGCAAGTGAAGTGAGTGTGAGAGAAGTGCGGTGCAAACAGTAGAGCCGCTGGTTGGCCCAAGGCAGAGAGGTAGCCACAGTGGGCGCTGGCTTTATACTCTGGTGCACCATGTGGTAGCCACAGTGGGCGCTGGCTTTATACTCTGGTGCACCATGTGGTAGCCACAGTGGGCGCTGGCTTTATACTCTGGTGCACCATGTGGTAGCCACAGTGGGCGCTGGCTTTATACTCTGGTGCACCATGTGGTAGCCACAGTGGGCGCTGGCTTTATACTCTGGTGCACCATGTGGTAGCCACAGTGGGCGCTGGCTTTATACTCTGGTGCACCATGTGGTAGCCACAGTGGGCGCTGGCTTTATACTCTGGTGCACCATGTGGTAGCCACAGTGGGCGCTGGCTTTATACTCTGGTGCACCATGTGGTAGCCACAGTGGGCGCTGGCTTTATACTCTGGTGCACCATGTGGTAGCCACAGTGGGCGCTGGCTTTATACTCTGGTGCACCATGTGGTAGCCACAGTGGGCGCTGGCTTTATACTCTGGTGCACCATGTGGTAGCCTCTCGAGCATGGGTGGCACGTGTTTTGAGTCACAAGGACGCCGCACGAGAGGGCTACTGCGCAACACCACGGCTGGCACACCATGGGGCAGAGAAGAGCTGGCTATGGAATGCCATCCTAAAGGATTAACCGCAGTGTGGGGCAGAAGGTTTGCTCTGTATCAAGTCACCGGCCGCACTATGGAGCACGGGGCGCACTATGGGGCATGGAGCGCATTATGGGGCATGGAGCGCACTATGGGCATGGAGCGCACTATGGGGCATGGAGCGCACTATGGGGCATGGAGCGCACAATGGGGCATGGAGCGCACTCTGGGGCATGGAGCGCACAATGGGGCATGGAGCGCACTATGGGGCATGGAGCGCACAATGGGGCATGGAGCGCACTATGGGGCATGGAGCGCACTCTGGGGCATGGAGTGCACTATGGGGCATGGAGCGCACAATGGGGCATGGAGCGCACAATGGGGCATGGAGCGCACAATGGGGCGTGGAGCGCACAATGGGGCATGGAGCGCACCATGCGGCACGTGGTATCGGCGTAGGTGGTGATGGAGGAGGGTGAGACGATGCACATGCGCGCACAGTCCACGAACGCCCCTGCCACCTCCCTCTCCGTGAATGCTCGCCCACAGGTTGCTGGCAGGCAGGCCACCAGCCTTACACACGTCTGCACACACACACGCACACACACAAATGCACACATGCATGCATGCAAGCGCACACAAATGCACACATGCATGCATGCAAGCGCACACATACACACGCATGCATGAACGAGTTGGCATCACATGGCAATGAGAGCATGCATTAACTTAGCTCGGAATTACACAAGTAAAAGCTAAGTGCGTTCCACAGCCGTGGCAGTCACGCAGAGCAGCGGCATACTCACATCACGACAGACATCAGGTGCAGCAGCAGCAGAGCCGCCACTGGGCTGCGCCTGATTGGCTGCATCCACGTCATCGTCATGCTCGCAGTAGCCCCATGCGGCGAGCTCGAGGGTGGAGGCAGCACCAACGATGTTGATGCGCTGTGTGCCGGGAGGGGGCGCGTGCACGGTGCCGCGGATGCCCCCCGCGGGCGCGTTGAGCACCACCACCCAGTCGCCGTCCGGAATGTCCAACGCTACTGACACGTCTGTCGTGCCGAGTGGAAACGGCTGGAACGTTTCGTACCTGCTTGCCATGCATGGGCGCCACAAGTGGGGTGGCGCGGGGTGGGATGGCATGGGAGAGGTAGGGAGGAGAGGGGATGGGATGGGATGGGATGGGATGGGATGGGATGGGATGGGATGGGATGGGATGGGATGGGATGGGATGGGATGGGATGGGATGGGATGGGATGGGATGGGATGCGGTGGGATGTTATGGGATGGTGAGAATAGACAGGACTGGAGAGCAAGAAGAGCAGAGAGGCGCGGGGAAGGGGGGACGTGCAGACAATGGCTGGCATGTGACTAGAGGGTGAGCATACCAGCAGAGGGAGACGGGGTCAACCATGCAGAGGTTCCAGGAAGATTCGTCAACGGCCTGCTGTGTGTCGAGCTGAGAGGAGAGCCTAATAACGATGGAGGTGAGGTTGGGGAAGATGCCGCAGTCCGCCTGGCAGCCAAAGCGGCCAAACGCGGGGTACTGGAAGGGGCGGTCGCACGAGCCGGTGCCACATGCTGGGTCTCTCCAGAGACTCTGCAGGGGCGGCGGGGAGAAGGGAGGGGCAATGAGGAGAGGAGTGGAGTGCACGGGCTGACGAGTGTGTGGGCTGACGAGTGTGCGGGCTTTAATCCAGAGGAGAGAGATGCGATGCTGCAGTGCAGGGGTGGACGGTGGGCAGGCTTTAGTACGTGCGGGGCAACACGCATCAAGGAGCACAAGGAGCGATAACACAGTGACCAAGGGGAGAGGGCGGGGGCGCACCTGAATGATGCTGGTGTTGAGCCAGCTGTACAAGTCATCCGGACCGTTGAAGGTGTTGGATGCATCCTGACGCATGCCCTGCTCTCGTGGTGGGGAGAGACGCACGCAGGGTGGAGGGTGAGAAGAGGCGAGTGAGCGACGAGGCGGCGAGGGGTGCTAGGCAGTGGCGCAGCGGAAGTGTGACGCATGCGGGGTAGAGGTGTGTATGTGGGCACAGATGAAAGCGGGGATCGTTGACGCGGGTAGCCTGCGGCGGGGGGACCGACAGAGCATGGATGGGAGGAGGAGCCCTGGCACAATCTCTGACGGGATACGAGGAGCGGAGGGAAGCGGTGATAAGCATACGGGGGGGAAGAGCACGGAGGGGATTAACGGGGGAGCATTTGGGAGGGAAGAGCATTGAGTGGTATACGGGGGGAGCATAGAATGAGTGTGTGGTAGAAAGAATGAATGTGCGCAGAGTTTATGCGCGTTATGAATGCAGCGGGAGTGGCAAGCATACAGGCGGGAAGAGGACAGAGGAGAGGAGGAGAGCGTAGGGGAGTGTGGAGGGTAGGGGGGAAGCATACGGCGTTGAAGGGCACGGAGTCGGGTTAAGGTGGGAGCATACGGTGGGGAAGAGGACGAAAGGGGAAGGAGGGGGGGGGGAATACGGAGGGAAAGAGGACGGAGTGGGGAAATGGGGGAGCATACGGGCGGGAAGAGCACGGCATGCGCGGCGGTGATTTCGTAGCTTCTGGAGGAGTCGGCCTGGAGGTAGAGGATGGTGATGAAGAGCGCCATGAGCACCACGAACCCGCCCAGGTCGCGGTAGTGCTGCACGCGCTGCTGCAGCCCCACCACACGCGAAAATGCCTCTGCCACGCGCGCAAGGGGGGCGGAAGGGGGGGGAAGGGGGATGGGGAAGGGGGCGTTGAGGTGTTGAGGCGGGCGAGAGCAGCGGGGGGAACAGTGGGGATGGCGCAGAACGCCAGAGGCGGTGCGTTAGAGATAAACGCGGGGAAGAGGCATGGACGTGGGGCGTGTGTCGCCCCACAACCTTGCGGAGCACCGCTCTGAACCAGGCCGCACCTTGCAGCACCTCTCCGTCCATCTCGTCCATCTCCGCGTCCTGCAGAACGTCCCTCGTCGATTGTGACAAGCTCGCCCCCCCCGTGAGGCCCTTCAACGAGCCCGCCGCGCACATGCTCCGCGCCATGGTCTCCCCCGTCGCATCCTCCGTCAAGCTGCGCTTCAGCGGACCCCCCGCCGCGGTCGCCTTCCCCTCCCCGCCCTCTCCGCCGTCCGCGCCATCGGCGCTGCTCTCGTCGGCGCGCGTGTGGTTTGCGTGGCTGCTCCGCGGACGGCATTGCCGCAAGAAGCCGCGCAGCCCTCTGTCGTCGTCTGCCGCGCTCCCATGGCTGCTGCCGCTGCTGCTGTTGCCGCTGCTGTCCCGCGCTCCCTCGGACCCCAAACCCTCTCCGCCGGATCTCCCTTCCTCCGCCAACCTCTCCGCTCCGCCCTCCGCGCGGATCACCCCGTAAACCTCATTGCCGTCGTCACCTTGCCCCTCCCGGTCTTCGTTGACGGAAACGAGCGGACTGGGAGACGAGCTTGACGCGAGTCGCGCCATGAGCTCCGCATTTTGCGGCGTGAACCTGCCCTGGCTATCGAGGAAATCTAGACTGTGCTGCTTGCGTCTACGAGACCCCGTGGACTTGCGGCTTCGAGACGACAAGGATGGGCGAGGGGAGTTGGGGATGGGCGGAACGGAAGGGAAAACTGTTTAGAAAGGCGGGAGTGCGCGTTTTTTGGAGAAGAAAAAGTAGCATTCAGAAGCGTGTTGACAAGCACTAACGATCACGTGCAAGCAAGCGCGGAACGTGTTGGTCGGCTCACCTGGGTTGATTATCGGATTTGGATCGAACCCACATGCGGTAGTTGGCCGCCTCGTACGCCTCGAAATTGTCGTCCAGCAAACTCTTCGACCGCGAAAACGACGCCTCGCCAACATCCTCCTCCGCCACCTCCCTCCCCTCCGCCTGCTTCTTCGCGCGCAGCACCGCAACCGCCTCCGCCATCCCCGCTTCTATAGTGAGAAACGAGAAGCAGGAAATAGTTCCTAATAACGAGCATGTATTACGGCTACGAAAGATGCGTGATGTACTTTCTTGCTAATGGTGTCCCTGTCTAGCGGTGGTTTGGAGAATGTGGAGGACGAGTATATGCTGCACGCATTCCCTGCCTGCACTTGTGTAGTAGTGTTCCTGCTCATCTTGTGTCCTGCTGTTTCTTATGACAGTAAAGCGTGGAAGGGTAGGAAGAAGGCAACTCCATTCCCCAAAAAAAAAAAAAACGCGGTTGGAGGAGATGCTTCTATGCCTTTTCTCGGTTGGATCCGGCGTAAACTTCAAGCAGTTGGATGGAAGGGATGCGATGCGAGCCATGATTCGGTGGTGGGTGGCATCTGAAAATGGAAATCCGACAAACTACTGTACAAACCAAACCAAAGGACCCTTGACACTGACTGAAAAAGGGAGCGCAGATGTGCGCCCCAGTTTGGCACGTATTGCCACTTCGGCTGGAGTGAGGGTCATTTTCAGGCTCGGCATACAAGGGAAATTTCCCTGCTTTTGAATGATACTGTAAGGTCGTTTTCTTTACTATTTTTAAAAAATGTATGAATGTATGTTAGGCACGCCTTGATACCTTTCGCCGAATATATCTCAGCGGACAAGCGAGTCCGCCCGGGGGATCTCGCTGCCGCGGGCAAAAAAAAAAACCATTCGGGCATGCATCCGGTCAGGGAGGCATCAACCCTAAACACAGAGAGGCATGGATTTAGGGTTGATGCCTCCCTCGAATGGCATGCCATCCGAGAGGGTTTTTGTTTTTTTCAGCCCGGGGCAGCATGTCGTCAAGTCGTCAACAGGTCGTCAGGCTTGACGACCCGTTTCCGCTGAGATATTCCTGGGCGCTATATTATCTGCTGGTGAGGTTTCGAAGAGTCCAAGAATGTCCATATATGGTCCTGTTTTTTGTGCGTCACATTGAGGCCCTTGTCAGAATCCCAGTCACTAGACCATTGGGATAGAAGGGCTTGTTAAGTAGCGGGTCAGAGTGCGCCCATAACCCCCCAGGTGAATGCGCCTGTAACCCCCCTAGGATCAATCGAGCATCCATAGTGCAGATCTACTGACACCCCCCCACACTGGGAGGCCCAGGATGAGAAGAATGAAGAACGAGGATGAATGAACTATGGATGAGGTGAGTACATATAGAAAACCCTAATTGGGTTGTACCCCCTATGGGATACCCCACTATAGCCTACACAACAGCATAAGCTATATATGTTCTGACACACCCCCATAGGCAAAGTGGGGGAGAACAAGGGGTCACAAGACCAGTCAAGCAAAGCAGAGCAAGCTCAGGGTGGATCACAACGTCACCACACAGTCCGAGCACAACGACAAGGCCACAAGGCCAGTTCACATGCAGGAGTACACATATATATATATAGAGCTAGACAAGCAAGAGCAGGTATATATATGTGACAGTACAAGTAAGGTCAAGAGGAGAGCAAGTGAGGCAAGACAGGTACAAGACCCAGCTGAGTGCAGAAGCGCTGATGGTCACAAGGCGCAAGTGCCTTGGTGAACACATCAGCAGTGTTGGCCTGAGAGGCCACGTACGCAAGTCGCAACTGACCACGCTGCTGCAGCTCACGAGCAAGAAAGTAACGGAGAGCAATGTGCTTCGTTCTGTGCTCCAAGCGCTGCTCTCGACACAAGGCCAGCATGGCCTTGTTGTCTACGTACAGCACTGGAGGAGAACGAGGCGGCTCTCCAAGGTCAGTCAGCAGGTAGGTGAGCCAGCGAAGCTCCTGTGCAGCCATGGCCCCGGCGTAGATCTCAGCCTCACAACTGGAGCCGAGAACAGAGGACGAGCGAGTAGCTCGCCACGAGACAGAGCCGGAACCAAGACTGAAGGTGTAACCCTGCGACGACCGCTGCGTAGCCTGGTCGTCAGCCCAAGAAGCGTCCGCGTGCCCAGTGAGGACCACTGGACTCCGCCCTCCAAGCACTAGTCCCATGCCCGACGTACTGCACAAGTATCGCAACACCCTCTTCGCTGCAGCCATGTGCTCTGGTCGGTGTCTCCCAGGAGCAACATAGCGTGCAAGAATGCTAAGAGGGTATGCAAGGTCAGGTCGTGTGCAGGTCATCAGGTACATGAGGCAGCCAACAAGCTCTGGATACGGGCCACTCGACTCTACGGACTCATCCGAAGGCAGAGCTGAGAGTGAGTGGCGAGTAGGCAGAGGAGTGGCCTGAGGCGAGGAGTACGTGAAGCCGAAGCGCTGAAGGACCTGCTGCACCATGTGTGACTGAGTCAGGGTAATGGTGCGGCGTGCTCTGTCCCGGTTGATCTGCAAGCCAAGGTAGCTGCGCAGTTCACCCAGGTCTGTGCACGTGTGTCTCTTCTGCAGCTCGGACTTCACGTGGGCGAGTCCAGCAGTGTCAGCTGTGGCAAAGACCAAGTCGTCGACGTACACGAGGATGTAGAACGGCGGCAGAGAGGTGTCGGTGCGTAGAAACAGCGACGGGTCGGCAGTAGAAGGAGCAAACCCAAGAGCCGCAAGCGTAGTCCTCAGTGTGTCGTGCCACTCACGTGGCGCCTGGCGGAGACCGTAGACTGGACGCCGGAGACTCCACTGGGTACCAGGAGGGAAAGACCCAGTGAAGCCAAGTGGGCGGCGCAGCCAGATCTCCTCGTGCAGGCTGCCCTGCAAGAAAGCAGTGCTGAAGTCGAGAGAGTGCAGCTCGTAGTCACGGTGAGCAGCAACGTGTAGCAGCACCCGAAGAGTGGTCATCTTCGGGGTGGGGGAGAAGGTCTGAAAGTAGTCAACTCCCTGTCGCTGACTGAAGCCACGAGCCACGTAACGTGCCTTGAAGACAGGCGGAGAACCCGGCGGCCGCTTCACCCTGAAGATCCACATGCCACTGACGATGTTCGCCCCAAGAGGGGGGACAGCGTCAACGTAGGTGCCTGTGGACTTCCAGGAAGCCATCTCTGCATCCATAGCTGCCTGCCACTGAGAGGAGTAGGGACCCTCTATCGCCTCCGCGTAAGAGCGCGGAGTCGGGATGTCAAGTGCATCCGGGTCTCCCTCAGGGGTAAGCAGTACGGACACGAGATGAGGTGAAGCAGCTGCCAGACACTGGAACTCCTCCTGCCTGTCCTCAAGGACGTCCGTGCCAAGGGCACACTCACCCCCGACTGACGGAGGACAGGCAGACCCAGACTCAGCGACAAGACTAGCAGCGTAGTCTAGGCGACAGCGAGCAGCAAAGTCGACGAGCTCAGTAACTAGGGCAGACGCAGCTGTAGACTCGAAGGAAGGGTCAGTGACGACAGTAGCAAGGAGACGCGTGACAGTAGGACTGGCAGCACGAAGAGAGTCCGACGCAGGGTCGGGAAGAGCAGGAAGAGAGGACTCAGGAGGAGAAGGCAAAGGGGCACGCAGAGGAGCAGTAGACGGACGCAGAGACATCCTGTGCGTGCCAGGGACAGGAGGAGGACGCTGACGCGAACCACGACCACTAGCGCGAGCAGCACGGACAGGCGACGCAGGGCGAGACGCAGGCTCACGACGCTCAGTAAGACCTCCAGTAGGACCAGTGTAAGGAGAAGGAGCAGGCAAAGGGGAGGTAGGCTGTAGCAGTGACCGCGACGGGACAGGCTGTGGACCCTCCAAGAGAGGAGGAGGACCAGGAGAGGGCGGAAGACCAAGAACCTGCTGCAGGAGTGGAACGAAGTACGGTCGAGGCCGCGTAGCTACGCCAGAAACAGCAGGGACAGCACCAGTACCCCCAGCAGGAGCACCCGCTCCAGCAGCACCTCCAGTAGCTCCAGAACCTCGAGCAACACCAGGAGCACCCCCAGCAGGACCGCCAGTGGTAGTCTCAGCGCCAACACCCTCAGCAGCACCAGCTCCAGTCGAACCCGCAGGCCCAGCAGCTCCAGTACTCCCAGTACGAGCACCTCCGGGACCCGCAACAGCAGCACCCTCAGTAGCCGACGAACCTCCAGCACCAGCAGCACGGCTCCAGCGCCGGGCAAACCACTCGCGCAGCTCCTGTGGAGAGAGTGGCTCCCGGCGAGACAAAGCACGCGTAGAAACTCGAGGCGGAGGACCTCCAGGCGCAGCACTCCCAGGTCCAGCACCCCCAGGCAAAGCACCCCCAGGCGTAGCACCCCCACACTCGGCACCCCCAGGCTCAGCACCCCCAGGCTCAGCACCCCCAGGCTCAGCACCCCCAGGCTCAGCACCCCCAGACTCAGCACCCCCAGACTCAGCACCCCCAGGCTCAGCACCCCCAGGCCCAGCACCCCCAGGCCCAGCACCCCCAGGCTCAGCACCCCAAGCAGCACCAGAGTCACCAGTGACCTCGACAGGCTCGACTGCGTCTACCTGGGACACACCTGAAGGGGCAGGACCCTGAGGGGGGAGGGGGTCTACCGGGGGGGGACCTGGTACAAGGAAGAGCGGGGGCGGGGGGGGGGACGGAGTGCGGTAGGGGAAGAGGCGGTAGTAGGGTACCGACTCGTCGAACGTGACGTCCTGAGAGGACAGAACACGGCGAGAGGTGGGGTGGTAGAACTGCCACCCAGGCGCGTCTGGGGGGAACCCCAGGAAGACGCAAGGAGCAGCACGAGGGGACAGTTTGTCCGCAGACAAGTCGCGGACAAACGCCCGAGATCCCCAGACCCGGAACGCCGACGCATCGCCCACCTTCCCGGTCCACAGCAAGGCTGGGGAGGTCTCCGGCCTGGAGACCCTGGGGTGAAGGTTGATCTGACGTGCCGCGTACCTCACCGCAAACGGCCACAGAAAATGGGGGGCAGCCGCATGCATCATAGACGTACGAGCGACGTCCATGACCATGCCAATGCGGCGCTCAGCAATCCCATTTTGCTGCGGAGAGTCCGGGAGCGTGAAGGTCTGACGGATGCCTCGTGCACGACAGTAGGCTCGCAGAAGGCCAGAGGAGAACTCTCCGCCTCTGTCCGAGTGCAG